AATTACTAGTCGCGAGCGCCGCCGCGCTTCCCAAGCGGCGCACTATCCAGTGCGCCACCGGGCCGGCCCTCAACTGTGATATTTACAGCAAAATTATTATCCCCAGTTCATATATAAAGAAACTGCAGCTCAGAAGAATTAAGTGCCTTAGTCTAAGAAGGTAGAGGAGTTGGGACTGGTCCCTGGTATTTCTGACTTCTAATGCAATGTCTTCTCCAAGAAAACTTTGCTGCCAACACCTTGCCAGATTACAGAAAGGAAAGGAGGCTCTTAAAGAACCGTGTATAAAAGGAATATCTAAAAATACTGCTCACCCTCTTGAATATCTGTTTGAAACAACTTCAATAAGACTTAATCCTAAGAACAAAATTAAAACATAATTTAAGTGCCCAGATATTGTTTTTAAAATTCACTTCCTCTTAAATAGTGTCATTTCACAGCAAGTTGCCATTTTTTCCAGCGACTGCAATTCACAGGTAGTATTTCTGGAGGGTGTTTATTGTTGTCCCTTCTCTGTTTCAGCAACAGATCAACTCCCAGCAACCATGATCGGATACAGCGTCTGCGGCAAGAATTTCAACAAGCAAAGCAGGATGAAGATATTGAAGATCGGCGACGTACCTATAGCTTTGAACAACCCTGGGTAAGTAGTTGGTTCTTTTTTGTTAATGAATATTCATGAGATACAAAGTACTTGGTTCTTGAGCACAGGAATAGTCCTACAGCTTCCCTGCAGTAGAGGCCACTAAGCTATGACCTCAGTTCTCTATGAATGAGGCAAGAGAGAGTCAAATTCCTTTGACCTTTAACATATTGACCTTTCCCTCATTTCCATCTGGGTTTCATCATTACTAATTTCATTTTATATCTTGTTCCACCATCTGTCCATTGCATGATAGGTTTCATTAGCCTCATGACAAGACATAGCAAAAGTATTCTTGCTCTCAACTCGGCATTTTTTTAAGTCTGGTAAATATTTTTCTACAGATACATTTCTCTCAGAATCAGAGCCAAAATAAATGAGTTCAACACGTGTCTCTTGTGTCTGTTACGCACAAAGTACAGTGTGTAGTATTTCTTGATTCTTGATCCTCCCTCATCCTCCTTGTGTATTTGTTGAATCCTTCTCATTTATCTGCCTACAACTCTATGTCCATCCTCCAAACAGCCACCAGAGTGATCTTTCTAGAACAAAACTTTAAGTGGCTTTCTCAGTGCCAGACCTATACTCTGATCTTGTGTTTCACCCTAGAGATGTGGCACTTCTGCGAATGAAGGGGTTGGAGCAGATTTGGGAGTCTGAGATGATGAAGATTCTGAAGAATCTCTTTGGGAAACTTGAGAGTGAGTCAACTAGGGGTGAATAAATAAGCTGCTTGAGGTAGGAAAATCTAGCTCAGGGTATTAGTAAATCCAATCAATATGGTCATGTGACCATGACCAACAGTGCTTAGAGGACTGGGAATAGAAAAAACAAATTTGTAGATGACTTCTGTGATGGGGACTGGCAAGACAGACAAGGCAGGAAGTCCAGGAAGGCACCTGGAGTCCTGGTGAGGATAGGATGCTGGAGAAGCCTCACCCAGCTGCGTAGGGCAGCAAGTGCAGCTCAAGGGGGGATGGCAGTGATAGCTGGGGAGTGTGCAGGAGTGGTCAGAAGTCTAGGGGTTCTCAGGCCGAAGAGGTGGTGGCCAAACCAGTATAGTTTTTGGACTGGTGGCCCAGTTCTGGATGATGTTGAGGTCTAAGGCCATCTATGCATGTGAGTTACAGAAGTAGGGGAGAGCTTAGTGTCCATAAAGCTGATGAGTTCAGCTCAGACAAAGTGTTGGGAGGATAATTACACTAGATATCTGGGAGAGTAGGGGCAGATGGAAAATTAGTGTTTGAAAAGGCTTGAAGGGGCCGCCCCGGTGGCGCACTGGATAAGTGCGCCGCTTGGGAAGCGCGGTGGCGCTCCCGCCCGAGGGTTCAGATCCCACATACAGACCGGTTCCCGCTCACTGGCTGAGCGAGGCGCGGGAGCAGCACTGAGGGTTGCGATCCCGTTGCCGGTCCCCGGTCCGGTATGGGGGCAACACTGAGGGTTGCGATCCGTTGCCGGACACGGAAAAAGATAAAAGACAAAAAAAAAAAAGAAAGAAAAAAAGAAAAGGCTTGAAGTAAAAAACAAAACAAAAGATCCTGTTTTATTTGGGGGAGGGTAGACAACCCAGGTGAAATAAAACTGAGAGGTTGGTTATGTTGAAGGGCAGGGGAGATTAAAGGTAGAAATGTAGTTGGAGCCTTCGATGCTAGATTGAAAGTTGGAATAAGGATGGTTCCAGGACAGCTGCTGGTCCACTAGCCAGGTGTCCTGGCTGTCCAGGCCTCAGTTTTCTTATTTCTAAGCTAAGAAGATTAGACGATTGAGTGTCGGTTACTAAACCCTTTGATAAAATGGAAGTTTAAGAGGAAGCTGAGTGTGTAAAGCAGATGCAAGTGGAACTCTTCTGGTTGAAAATAGAGGCCTCCGTCGATCCGGTTTACTGCTGCTGTAGATCAGAGCTTCTCAAAGTGTGGTCCACAGACCAGCATCTTCAGCATCACTTGGAAACTGGTAATAAACACACATTCTTGGGCCCAGCATCAGAACTACTAGATCTGAACCTCCATGGGTGGGGCCCAGGAATCTGTATTTTAACAAGCCCTTCTCCAGGTCATTCTGAAACATGTTCAGCTTTTAGAAGCACTGTTCTAGTGTCCAGGTGATCTCTGAGGTCTTCTTTGGTCCTAAAATTCAGCATTCCCAATACATTGCTCTACATAAAGCAAGAAACCTGTAAAGATTTTTGGTTAAGGGATTTAGTGATCAAAGTGGAGTTTGAAGATTAATTTTATGGATGAAAAGAGAAGAAGGGAAAATGGGAGAGGCAACTCTAGTCTGAAGGGCTTCACCTTAGTTCAGGTAAGGAAGATGCGGCCTTAAAACAGGCAATTGACAATATGGGACGAGCACTCAGGAGTAAAACCGCTTCATGAAATCAATCTTGCCTGACTTTGAGAAGTTATAAAACAAGTTCAGCAGGTCTTGTGTCTAAGAAAATCTCTAATTGTCTTCTTATACAATATTAATGGTATTTAGTTTATTTTTCTAGATGATCAAGTAAATTGAGTCATTCCTGTGCAGCCACATGACAGAATTGTGTTAATCTACTTATACTGTTTGTCATAATTGACTCGATGTTTTCTTACTAGGTTTCCTAAAGCAGGATTCTTTTATGATGTGCGGTAAATACATTCTTGACTAGGGATATTTGCACAAAGGGGCTGAACAGAGTAAAGTACCATGTCAACATGAAGGATTAAAACTAGCAACTGCATATGGAAACGATTGTCACACAGTGTGTTCTAACCTGCAGAAACCTCACGTGGCTTATCGTTCCCCGTGCCATACCACGAGGAACAGCGTTATGCTATTTTACTTTACCTGGGAATGTGGATTCAAATCAGCATCTTCACTTTTATTCTTTAAGTAATTATTTAATTCACTAAACTTATTGAGTGCTTACCATGGACCAGTCTTTGTGTTTGATGCTGGAGATTAAAGATAGGAAAGAAAGAATGCCCTTAGAACTTTACAGTGGAGCTGATACAAAGTAAAGGAATACTTGGCACAGTGTAGATGTGACAGGTTATGCAGGGGGTGTTTAGAAGCACAGAGGAGAGAGGCCCAAATCCGTTTGGGGTGGTCAGGAAAGGCATGAAAGAACCTGCCCTTAGAACTTTACAGTGGAGCTGATACAAAGTAAAGGAATACTTGGCACAGTGTAGATATGACAGGTTATGCAGGGGGTGTTTAGAAGCACAGAGGAGAGAGGCCCAAATCCGTTTGGGGTGGTCAGGAAAGGCATGAAAGAACACCTCTTTGAAGTTGAAATATGTTTGAAATATATTACTTTGAGAAACAGAGAAACATATCTTTGGGAACTAAGATTGATGCATTTATTTCTGGTTGGTGACATTGTAGCTACACTCAGGATCTCCAATTTTGTTTGAGGCTAAATGAGCATTTCCTACTTCTTATCCCTTAGATATTTTTCACTGGAAGAAGTGAAAATGATTTGAAATCTATTTTGGTTTCTTTGCAAGATTTTTTTTTAATGGGGACAGTGAATATATTGGCATGCAATTCTATGTTATCTACTTAATATGAACAATCATGTTAGGGAAAAACCTTTGAGAAAATCTTGTATATTTGGAAATTCAACTATGGAAGGTCATAGGCAAAATTATCGAAATGCCATAGCAACTTCAGATAGATAACTTGGCTTATATTATTGTTCCCTGTAATGAGTGACCAGGGAATTATTAGGATGACAGGCTGATTACCTTAGGAATGGAATAATTTCCTAAATTGTGGGTCAGAAGTTGACCTTTTCTTTTAAATTCTTTTTTTATTTTCAAACAATTGGGATCTTGCTGTATACGCTCCATTTTACTGATCATGTAAATGAGCATAAAGTGACTATAATTCTACTTACTGTATTAATTTTCATACCAATTCTTATGGTTACCTTAGTAAAAGCTGCTCAGTTGTTCAAAATATAGCTTGGCCAATGGTTTTTATTTTCGGTTTTTAAAAATGAGCTTTGAGTATCTTGGAATCTTTTTTCTCTTCCCTATGTATTTTGACCTTGAAAGGTCACTGTTTGGAAAGTGACCAATGATCTCACTCCTTGGAATGGTTTGTTTTAAGGAACTACAGACTCATCTCCAAGCTGTGTGTACAGCTTACACCGTATCAGTTGAAATTGTTATGCTTGTTAGAAATGCCCACACAAAGTGCAGCCACATGTGTCATATAGAAAATATCCAAGCCAATTACTTTACAGAATGGGATGCTGCATAAAATTCATCCAAGCAACGTTTTCAATTCAGCTATTTTGAAAATGTTCTCTATAAACTCTAGGAGTATGGAATGCACCTGTTCCTGGGCGTTTGTTCAAAATAATATTTGGGTCAGAGGGAGCTAATTTATGGCACAAAAGGTCTTTAGATGAGCAGAGGCCCAGAAAATTTCCTTAGCTTCATAATTGAAGTAAATTCTCTACCAAGTTGAGTACGAGAAGAAGAGAAAGCAACTTGTTCCTCACCTAGTCCCAGGTGCAGCATAAATAAAGCAGCACGTTGCTTTAAATCTTTCTTAAGATAATGGAACAATAGCTGAGGTTAGGGTTATTATCACAGAGCTCAGATGTGGACAGGACTTAGTGTTGCTTTTAAAAGAATTAAATTGCAGGCTGCAGACATCAGTACAGTATGCTGTTAAAACTTTGCAGATACCTGAGTGTTACCCACAAGGAGACTTGCTGGCTGAGACGAGTGATAGATGGGATAATGGAGCCTTTAATAGCTACATATTGCTAAATCCTTTCCATCCCAGGTTGGTAGTAGCTGAAAGTAGTTTAGTCCTTCAGGTAGAAAATTGATACTCAGCAATGTGAATATCCCCTTCTCCCCCAAGCTTGCTTTCTTCCTAGCTGTGTGTCTTTAACAAATAACAAAATCTGCCCTTTTCTCCCTTTTTCCGTCTTGGACTTTCGATAACACTTCTTGCCCTTTTAGGGTTTCTCCTGCTTTAATTGGCCAGAAAATCACAGTACACAGCCCCTCTGCGCCTTGAGATTGCCTCCCCTGTGCCTGGGGAATTTGAGAAAACGGTTACTTTCTTTTTGCTTTCATCTTTTCTAAGACTTAAAAAGTATCAGCTGTCATTTCCTTCATGCTTTGACTCCAAAAATGCCATCTTAGTTGACAGCCTTGAGTGTTGCCCCAGCTGAGATTGGGTGGAAATCACCTCCCTTAGAAACAGATCTGGAGAAAGCCATTCTTGCAGCAAATGGGTGCCTTTACACATGAAGAGAGCTGCTACCTTCTTTTAGCCCCATGACCCATCTCCCCAAGCCACAGCTTCTGTGACCTGTGGGCCATTCCAGCCCCAGAGGCGTGGGGTGCTGGCAACTGAGGCAGCTGCCTTTGGTTGCCGTTAGCACTGCTGCTGGAAGGCCTGGCCTGTTCGCTAGTGGTACTCTTTCATTTTCACTGTACCTGTTGCTTAACGAAGGAGGGGAGATAACAGATCCCAGCACTGGTGGGAAAGATCAGATGAGGACAGATACTATGTTAAGACCCAAAAATGCATTTCTAAAATCTTTATGAGGAAAATGGTTATGCTCTGCAGATTTTTCAGCCATTACTCACATCCTTAGTAGCCATTAAGCTTTTCAACATTGCAGACCCACAAGAGTTCAATCAATGGTTGTCTATGTAGGAGTGTGGGATGGGGGAGGGGTGGAGGGCTGGGAAGGCAGAAGACAGACTAAAAGTTAACTTCGTTGTTGTAAAGAAGTTTACTACAGAAAATAATTATCAATATTAGCAATGGCCACTTTTAAACAGAATAAACAGGGCTGGCTGGCTAGCTCAGTTGGTTACAGTGTGGTGCTGATAACACCAAGGTTTGGGGTTCAATCCCTGTACCAGCCAGCCACCAAAAATAAATATATAAAGTAAAATAGAAAACAGAATAAATAATTTATACTCTTTATATGATTTAATGGCATACAATTACTAGTCCCCTCTACTAAATCTTTAAATTGCCATTTTTATCAGAGTATGGAATTCATATTAGGTTTGCAGCACATTTGAATTGCTAAAATACGGATTCTAAACCTCAAAGGAGGGTGTCATTGGTCTTTTTGTTATTATAATCATCTTCACTACAGATTTCCACCCAAAGCACACAAACTTTTCGTATTTTTTTTTTCATATATATGCCCCTGGATGTATGTACAAATTCGAAGATTTTTATTAGTCATAATTTAAGTAGTAAACCTGCCCAAAATGATTATTTATGAGATATTGTACATGTGTGTACTTATATACAACATGTACACATACGTATGCTTACATACATTTTTATCTTTATGAAGAGAAATGATAGGGTATTTAAAAATTATTGAATATTTTATGCAAATGTTAATAAAACAGTAATGGTTTTATTTCTTAAGTGGCAACATACTTTTATATTAATCTTTAAAAGTCTTACAACACTACGTAGTTTTAATTAGTACTGAAACTTTGTACTGTGTATATATATTTTTGTTTTTCAATCTATTATAACTATTTTGTTTGTTTTGTATATTTTAGTTTTGGAAAAATAAGAAAAATTTAATTGAGAGAAATGCTTAGTTAATGACTTAATTAAGTGAAACGCTATATGGAAGATTATTTTTTATATTTTGTTTTACACTGCTAAATGATACTGAAATTGTGTAGCTTTCTCAAGCTTTAAATAGTATTTCTTCATCATCATGATAGAGACAGTACTTTGCAGCTCATTTACAAAAGCGACATGCATATTTTTCACTTGTGGTTTTAAACAGGAGTCATGAAGGGATTAACATATCACGGCCCTCCAGTGTATTGTGTAATGATAATCATGTATTTATTTCTATCTTGCAACCTCTACTGTTATTATGGCTTTGGCAGCCTTGGCTATTTTTTGATATAAAAGGCCCTTGCTTGTAACCAATTTCATCACAAGGCCAGTGTTGTTTGTAATTTGCACTGTTAAAACAGCTTCATCTTGTTATCTGGCAAGTCTGGAATTTTTCCAATTATATCTACAGGTGAATTTCCCTATATAGATGTTACTTGGTTGTTATAATTGTTGATGATGTTTCATTTGAAAATATGCACTTGCTGTGAGGTTACAAATTATCTCTTTCTTTACTTCTTTCTCTCTTTGTGTGATTTTGGACTCAGATAACATTATTCAGCTTCTGCTATAGGGATTGGAAACATAATATTTAAAAGTCAGGATTGTCAATTGTAATACTATTCCCACAGTTTACATTTTTATGAGATCTTCATTGAAATTGTGAATCAAAAAGGTTCCTTTTTTTTTTTTTTTTTGTCTTTTGTCTTTTTCCGTGTCCGGCAACGGATCGCAACCCTCAGTGTTGCCCCCGTACTGGACCGGGGACCGGCAACGGGATCGCAACCCTCGGCGTTGCTCCCGTGCCTCGCTCAGCCAGTGAGTGGGAACCGGTCTGCATGTGGGATCCGAACCCTCAGGCGGGAGTGCCGCCGCGCTTCCCAAGCGGCACACTATAGCAGTGCGCCACCGGGCCGGCCCAAAGAGGTTCCTTTTTAATTCAGGCCAAATGTAAAACTTGCCAGGATGAACTTATTTAGGAGTTGATATAGGCTGGTCATATATGCAGTCTGCCTTGAAATATGTGAAATAGGTGGTCCATTAAAGTTTCAATTTAAAGATAAGGGTGAGTCTCTTTAACAACCTACCTTTTTGTATGCTCTGAAAAGAGAAATGGAATAAATTATTAATGATGAGGCTGATGTTTGTTTATATTTCATCATCACGAGCATGATAGTATGAAATACCACAGTTTGCTGATACCAAGCTCATTCATTCATTTTAAGTTTTCAGGTCCCATATGCTGATAATTTCATTATTGGAGTTCATCAAGATCCAAGTAGATGCTTACAGCTGATAAGGTTTGAAGTGAGCAGTGTCAGAAAACATACTGTTGAGGAAACAAAAGCCCTTCAACTCCTTTTTTCTCTGTCAGAATCAAATTTTCAGGCCCGTGGGGAGAAACAGCTTAAAAATAACACCTGATATTTCTACAAGACCTTGCATTTTCTTTTCATATCTCTGCAAGCAGTGTGTCACCGAACAGCATGGGCTTAAAAAGCTGGTTACTAAATCCTGCTGCAGAATGCTAGATCTTTCAAGACTGCTTGACACATGTATATAGCTTACACTGAGCAGAAAGGAAAGGAAAATGTGAGTTTTTGTTTTTGTTTTGGGGTTTTTTTGAGGGCATAAAGGAAATGGTGTAGTATTTTCTTGCTTTGCTTTTCTCTCTGTCCAGTGGCTTTCTCTAGCTTCCCATGGTTCACCAGGAACAATAAGACAGTTCTGTTTCTTTTTTGGCCAGCCTCATCAAGTGTTAGGGAAGAAAATGTCTATCTCCTTTAATGTGGTTCATAAAGTATTCAACTTCCTAAAAAATATTCAACAGTATGGCAAACTTTCATGTGTGCACCCATGGACTTTCCCATTTTTGTGAATTATTGTAGCAAATTTTAATTTCATTTGTCATTAATTTCTTCTAGTTGTCTGAGCAGCCTTACTCTTCGTGTATTTGTACGTACAAGGGATATAAACTGGTATCTAATATCAGTATTTACCAAACCTCATGAAGAAGACTAGAAAGATTGACCTCTCAAGTTTAAACCACATGCTAAAGCCAAAATCTCAATTTAAGATGCTCGAGTCCTTGGGATTCATAACAGCAATATATGCCTCTTTTCTCCAAGAAACTTGATTTTGAAAAAGAAAATGCACAGAATTTGCAAGATGTTTCAAAGTGAATTGATAAGAATTGAAATGGAGACAACCAGTTGGTTGTTGTTCCTCTCTTGTTGATGATTTGCATTTTCCTCCCACAGCCGAACTCCAGACCTGCGGCAGCGCAGAGTGGCAGACACTCAGTGTCGGTGGAGGTGCAGCTGCAGCGACAGCGGCAGGAGGAGCGTGACAGCTTCCAGCAGGCACAGCGCCAGTACAGCTCCCTGCCCCGGTATGTCCCCTCCCAGCCCTGTAGGAAACGCTTCTTCTCGTGTTGCACTGGCTTCTCCACCTGCCTCCAGGTAGCCACAGAGGATGAATGGAAGGGGAAATGGATAGTGGTTGCTTAGCTCGGAAGGGCATCCTACCACATAGCAAGAAGACTAGAAAGGAAGGTGTCTCACGAGATGCCAACATTTTCACCCCAAAAGCTCCCTAATCAAAAGTGAAGCATCATGACGCCTGAGTACTGGCTGAAGAGTCAGACCTGGGTTCTAGTTCTGCTAGCTGGGTTCTGCTACTTTCCACGTGGTGGTGGACAAGACAATTTCCTCGTCTGAAAAATGGGAAGCTAACTCTTACTTTGCTTAGCTCATAGCTAGAATTACCGACACTTTGTAAATCTAGAGCTCTCTAAAAGGATCAGGGTGAATGTTCCATGCACCGGACCTAGGTGGGAACAGTGGTCCCAAAGCTCTCTCACTGTCTTGTCCTCCTGGCCGTTGTGTACTGTCAAACCTCACCCAGGGATGCTCAGCTCACTAGCTGACAAAAGACTCAAAAGCTCTCAGATGACTGAGCCCTAATACATTGAAATAATAGCCACTCTGCCTTTAAAGTATTTCTCCTAGGCAGAATAAAGAATAAAAGTGTGGAAGAGCACTCAGCTTTTCAAGCTCCCCAAACAAGTCACTCCTATAGTCAAAATTATTAAAGGTACTTATTGTCTTTTTTCTAAACCAGGTGACAAAGACATTTTGAGTGGTAAAAGTTCCATTTGCCATGTTGACATCAAGTAGACTGTTTTGAATTTGAGCAAAACAGTTTTTAAGAGGAGGCAAATGCTTAACCTGTGTATACTTGACTGATGGATGTGAAAGTGATCTTGATTCAATCTCTAACAAAGATGAGTCCCTTCAAATGTTCAGTAATGACCATAACAGCCACAAGGGACTTCACCACAGTGAGAAGAGCCAGTCAAGGGAACATGGACGTGAATGGAAATCTCCACCAGGATGAGTGTGTGTAGTAACTTGTTCATTAGTTGTTCTTTTTCAACCCATAAAGCTATATCTCCCTTAAAATTACTTTTTCTTTTAAATAGGAGAACTACCCACTAACAGTAATGTAGCCCATTCTAGGTAAGAGTCATTAAAATTTAGGTCTGGAGAGGGTTTTATGGATCATCTTGACTTGTAAGGAAACAGCTCAGAGAAATTAAGTAACTTCCCCCAAGGTCACACAATTAGTAACTAATTTGCCAGAAGTCAAACCGAAACCTGGTGCCCATGCCCTAATCCATTATTTTACTAGGCCCATTGTTACCAAGGGCTTTTATTCCCAACTTTGGGGTATTAATAGGTGTGATGTTTCCCTCTGTGCTCTACTGCCCTTAGCATTGGGAAGAAGACCACTGTAGGAATCAACCCAATTTTACTAGGCCCATTGTTACCAAGGGCTTTTATTCCCAACTTTGGGGTATTAATAGGTGTGAAGTTTCCCTCTGTGCTCTACTGCCCTTAGCATTGGGAAGAAGACCACTGTAGGAATCAACCCAACGAATCTGAACACTTTAAGGATTATGCATGTAGGTTTACCTGTGTAGAATCCCTTCTCCCGTCCTGTTTGGCTTACGTTCCATTGGAAAGGGGGACATGGTAATGCCTGGTGTGGCCCTGACCATGCAGCCACATGGGTAGGCCATAGAACTTCGTAGCTTGTGTGGAATGGGGTTGTCAGTGCAGGGGCCCTGCTCTTATTTTTATTGGCAAATTGTTTGGCATCATATATTTCAGCTATGTTTGAGAGTATTTATAAGAAATGGGGAAATGTGACAAAGTGTGTGTAATAAGAGGAGTGACTTGAGAAATATAAAGGGCTAAGAAAGGGAGGTAGGAGAGACAGTAGTGGGAGGGCCTGGAAGGTGGGACAGCTAGAAGGAAAAGAGACACTAGGGTCCTGACCCTTGGGAACAGGAAAAAGACGCAGGTGCTTCCCCTGAATTTCTCCTGGTCACATTCCAGAGGAGCTCAGGCGTTGCAAACTGAGCCTTTTCTCCTAGCATTCCCGTCTCCTTCTTCATTCTTAACCCCCTCCTTTCCTACCACCTCCTCTTCCTTTCTCTCCCTCTCCCTGCTGAAGCCCCTTCTAGAAGAATCTACATTTACATGCAGAAGAGAGTTGCCGCCGCCGCTGCTGCTAGTACTTCTCTTGTTACTCAGTGTTTCCCTTACTAGCAACAACTTTCCCTCTGGGTTAATTACAGCTCACTATTTTTAGTCATTTTATTCTGTGTAGTTAAGAGAAAAGCAGTCATTCCCAAATTAAAGAGTTAAGTAAGTTCTATATCATGTTCTTCTCTTTTTTTAGACAGTAATTTCTCAATGTGCATCTTCATATTTGTGAGGAAGTTTAGGAACATAGAACCCTGCACCCAGCTTGATTCCTTGCAGAGCAACACCACTCAGCAGCAAGCGCTGTGCAGGAATCTGAAGGAAGGTGAAGAGATCCCACAGGAGGTCAGAGGGGACTGCAACAGCCTACATGAGCTTGAGACCAACCCAAGTTTCTGACATGTGATATTCTTCAAAGACACTTGACCCCTGCTTTCGGATGTTGACAATTAGCAGAGTTTTGTCTAAACAAGTTGGTATGGCATTTGAAACCGAAAAGATTATACACACACAAAAAGTTCACTTACAAAGTGAAACATAAATAAAACAAATGGTCCAAACTTTGTATCAGTTGCATTAGATAAGGTGGTTTGAATTAGAGGAATGTATATGAACCAGAGTGGTTTGTAAATTCTAACTGTAATTAAGAAATCTATGGGCAGAATTCAATTTACATTTTGAAATGTCAGTAAGAAACACTAGCCAGGTGGTCACACTACTCTGGGAGGAAAGGACCCCTGAGTGGCCCCACACTCAATTCTTAATCAGACTAGATGTTTTCTTTTTTTTAAAAAAAAAAAAATTAATTTATTTTTTATTGTAAAGTGACAACTGACAATTCTATAAATGTATGGGGTACAAAGTCATGTTGTGATTTATGGACACAATGTGCAATAATTAAATCAAGCTAGTTAATATATCCATCACCTCAAATACTTAACATTTTTTGTGATGAGAACATTTGAAGTTTATTCTCTTAGCAATTTTGAAATGTACAATACTCTGTTATTAGCTATCTTCACCACACTGTGTAAGAGAGCTCAAAAGAAATCCCACATTTCTCCTGTCTGAGATTTTGCACCCTTTGGATATCATCCTTTTTTATTCCTAAATTAGTTTCTTTTTTTAGTATCCAAAAGGCAACTCTCAAACTGACTAGAAGAGATATATGCAGTCAGAGTCACTGATTGAAAGACTTAAGATCCTTGATTAAATATTTTTCTTTGTTTTCCCTTCCTGCTGTCTTTCTTCCTGTTCCTCTTCCTCCTCTCCCTTGGCCTGATGTCTGCCACGTCCGACTTCCTGCTTTGCACGCCTCACCCCCGAGCCGTTCCTCTGCACCCTAGTGTGGTGGCCCCACCAGGCCCATTCACTGTGTCTCCAGTCTGCTTACCAACTGTACAGCCTGGGTCTTTATCTCTTTCTTCATCCTTCTACGTCCGTCTCACTTTGGTGGCTAAATGGCTTTCCTTAGGCATTGGGTCTTTGGTTTCAGTCCTTCACATGAGAATGGTCTCAGGCCATATTGGAAGTCGTTGTAATCATCAGGAGATAGTAATTTGAATGGATGCAGAAATCTCCAGTGGGCTCATTGGAGGACCAAACAAATCTACGTGTGTAAGACATTCAGTGACAGGACATTGATGTTTTGTTGCTGATGTTATTTGCGACCTTTCACTGACAGATCATGGGACTTCCTTCTAATGTCTACGTCAGTGTTTGTGGCGTTGCCCTTACTTAGAGTTCATTAGTTATTCTTTGCTGACTTTCCCTGCCCTATGACTTCTACCCCATCCCTCTGCCCAAGGAAGGGAAAGCTAACATTTTTGTTTATTTTTTTTCTTTGATCAGAAAGATGCCCCCCAAAACCCAGAGCCTAGTCTTTGAGGGCAAAGTGACTTTGTCTTCAAACTACTCTGACACCTCTTACTCAGGCATTTCCTGGGTGCCAGTCACTTTCCTAAGCACTTTACGTGTGTCATTTCATTTCTTTCTCCCCACAGCTTTTTTTTTTTATTTTACTTTATCATAGCGAATCTTATTGCAAATTCATAAAAGCATCTAGAGACTTGATAGTAAATTAAAGATGTTTCAAAACAATAATGTTTCCTGAAAATCACGTGCAACTTTATTGCAGAAGTGATAAGAATTTGAAATTTCTGTATGCTGCTGATTTATTGCCCTATCCTGGGGTGACAGAAAGTGAGTTAAGCAGGTTATCCTGGCCTTTAGCGAAGGGACGGTGTGCAAGAAAATAGTGCTTACTCCCCAGATCTCCAGCTACCACAGTCTTGAGGAGCACGTTTTCTGAAGAGTGTCAGCTGCTGACATAAACAACTCGAAAGCCAGGGCTTTAAGGGACCGACTGCCTGTTGCATTTTTAATCATAGAGGAGTCTAGACCTAAATCTTTCATAACTGACCTCATATTGTAATCCGTTACATGTACTTCATCTCAGCCGGCATAGCTGGCATTATGGTGGCAGCTGTGTAAAATATTTGTTTTGCTTGTTTAGAATTGAATTGTAACGTTCTAAAGCAAGCAATTATTGCTATAGCAGAGGCTGCCAAATTTCCAATTCTTCTACACTTGCCGATGTATCTAAATTACAGGAGATATTGTTACTCTATGCAGGACAGACAGTACCTCCCCAGTCACAGAAGGAGGACCCTGTTTCTAAATAGCTGCTGAATCTATTTCTCTTGCCTGTCTCGTCAATGTTTGTTGAGTTGTCTAAGACTGTGAGCTTGCTGAGGACAGTCATTTTCGAATTCTCCAGCCCCTACCACGGTGTCTGACACATGAGTAGAACACAGCAATATTTGCTGAAACATTAAAATGCATATTCCATTCCACTCCTCCCCCTTTCCTCCCTCTCTCCCCTCCTCCCATCCCTCGCACTAACCTCTGGGCTTTGCTTTCCAGGCAAAGCAGGAAAAACGCCAGCTCTGTCTCCCAGGATTCATGGGAGCAGAACTACTCCCCTGGGGAAGGCTTCCAGAGTGCCAAGGAGAACCCCAGGTACTCCAGCTACCAGGGCTCCAGGAACGGCTACCTGGGAGGGCACGGCTTCAATGCCAGGGTCATGCTGGAGACCCAGGAGCTCCTTCGCCAGGAGCAGAGGCGGAAAGAGCAGCAGATGAAAAAGCAGCCTCCCCCCGAGGGGCCCAACAACTATGACTCGTATAAGAAAGTCCAGGACCCCAACTACACCCCTGCCAAGGGGCCCTTCCGCCAAGACGTGCCCCCCTCCCCTTCTCAGGTCGCTAGGCTGAGCAGACTTCAGACTCCTGAGAAAGGGAGACCCTTTTATTCCTGAGCACGAGAAGAGCCAATGCGTCACGTCATGCAATAAAGGACATTTTCCTATGAAGACTTGTATTGGGGGAGTTTTTTTAAAACCTCGATGGTACTGTGGAATATTTCTGTTGTCGGTATCAGTGCCTTTAAGCAGTGTGGGCAAAGAAATGGAAGGCCTTAACGTCTTTGCCACTGTGTCTCCAGTGTCTGCTTGACGGAAGGATTCCCCAGCATCTGACAATCATCTGTTGGAGGCTGTCATACGCTCTGCGTCTCTCTGGAGTGCCAGGAATCTAGGCCCAACTCATGAGATGTCCATGGCGCTGTTATTACAACTTGTGGTGACAAATGAACTTGAAGGTGAGGGTGATGTGGATCCCTCCCTTGCCCTCTAAGGCCTCTTAGCTATGAGGCAACATCTCAATCTCTGGTGGGTGAAAGGGGTGACATATGCCAGACATTGAAGTTTTACGGTACTTCATAGCACAGTCATTTGCAGTACTTCGTGATCAGTACGGTGTCCCCCCATTGCTTCCTCAGCTCCTTGTAACAGGAAAGTTCTGTCATTCTATGGAAGAAGCTAAGCCATACTCCAGCACCATTTGGTTATCATGGGGATCCTTTTGTAACTGCCTTATAACTCATCATTACCAATAAAGCGATCATTTTAGTCTGTGTTTATAAATGCACTGGTTCGGTCCTGTCCCTGATGCCTGCGTTGAGTCACCACCACAGCTCTGCGTAGGGGACACGGGAGATGGGAGTGGCCCCTGGTGGGGAAGGGCTGGGCCAGCCCCGTGGCCCTGTGTGCTCCAGGAGGTGCGAGGTGGGGGCTAGGAAGAGACCTCTCCCAGGACCAGCTCATGGCCCAGTACCTCCCAGGAATTATTTTAATTAGCTTTCATTTTGACAGGCTGGCAGGAAGGGCATAGAGTAAGACAAAGATAAACCAGTCGTTTTTGGGATCCTAAGCACCAATCTGCTCTGCGCAGTTTTTAATGTCGGTTGGAATTGAGGTTTGTCTAGTGCATACTGTATCTCTGCCTGGCGATGCCATGTTTCTAAATAATTCTGCCATGAAACATAAAATAAGAGAAGAGCTGTCACATATCACGCAGAGAACATTTTGGGGTCCCAAAGCAGTGGTAACAAAAGATTGCTCTCATGTCCGTATTTTAATGTCCACGTGGGTCACGAGGACCTCGGTTGCTCCGTTTCTGTCTGTTGGTCTGAACTCCTGTATTGTAAACCATGGCTGGGTTGCTAAAGTGCCTGCGAATCCTGATGTGAAGAAGCTTGAAATGAAAGCTCGGCATACTATGTATTAACAAAAAAGAAAAGGAAAAAAAAGACATGTATTGATACGCCTATTTTCTTTTTTTTTTTACTGGCACATTGTATTTTTGTGTCGACTTGTTTTTAGAAAATATGTGAAGTGACCACACATGTACCTGTGTCTCTTTTGCATTTCTGTGTAATGGTTCTATTTGTTAATAATGTGCAGTGATGTTTAAATGGTGTTACCAGTGTAAGTGCGGTGACCTGGGATGACAGTGGCTCTTTCTCACAGCCTTCCCTGTGCCGTGAGAAACAGCTTTCCCTGTACATATGAGACTTCTAATAAAAGGCATATTTCTTCCTGATCTTTGTGGTGTTTGTACTATTCCTGTGGAAACTCTCCTAGCTGGGTATTTTTTTTTTAAGTGTATTAACAGATGTTATTTTTTTTCATATTAGAGAAAGTTGGAAGTTTCCTCATATCTGTGTGCAAACACGGAAATGGGTGATTGATGGCTTATTTGAACACCTGAGGAGAGAGGAAGGGAGAGAGAACAGGACTTTCGTGAGTCCACTGGAAGGCCCAGGCTTCCGAAGGGAGCCTTGGGAATTCTGAACTGAAGGAGCCAATATACTAGAACTAAATAAGAGCAAAATTATACAGAAAGCTGCATAATATTTTGATGACTGCCCTTTGCTCCTTTTGAATCATTTTGGTAAACCAGATGTTTTGATTGTGTCCTAGCCTCAGATAATATGAGCCCAGAGAAAGGCCCAGATTCTGGTCTACTCCAGTACTAACCTGGTTCCTTTTGCCCAAATTACAAAATAAGGTTTTGCTATTTATTTTAGATGGACACTTATTAATATTGGTATGGTGTTTTGAGGGCAGAAAGGGCAATCCATAGGTATACCTTATGCACGAATATAGGAGATACAGTCCCCACCAAAAGGGCAAGATTTGCAAGGACCCATCAAAGATGCCCTCTTGGGGCTGGCTGATTAGCTCAACTGGTTAGGGCGTGGTGTTATAACACCAAGGTCAAGGGTTTGGATCCCCATACTGGCCAGCTGCCAAAAAAAAAAAAAAGATACCCTCTTTATGGAGTACTGTTTTAGTCCGTTTCTGTTGCTTATAACACAGTGATTTATAAGAAAATGAAATTTATTGCTTACAGTTTCAGAAGCTGGGAAGTCCAAAGTCCAGGGAACACATCTGGTGAGGGTCTTCTTTGGTAGTGTCCTTACAGCAGTGCAGGGGTCTCACGTGGCAGAAGATGGTGGAGCAGAAAGACTCTCATGTGCTCTCCTTTTAAAGCCCTCAGAACCACCACCATTATTAATCCTGACCATCATTATTAATCCATTCACTGTGGCATGGTCCTACAATCTAATCACCTCTCCAAGGCCCTGCCTTTCAATTACCATAATAGGATTTCCCACCCTCAAGAGTTACAGTAGGAATTAAGCTTCTAATAAATGAACTTTGGGGGACACAATTCAGTCAATCTGCAGCAAGTGCCTAGCATCAGTTGGTTGTCATAGCAGCCCGCATCCTGCCACTAAATCCAAATTCTATCACCTCAAGATGAATAATGAGAGGCACATGGCAAGCCAAGGAAACATCACCTCTTTGGTTCTTATGTGCATGCCACGTGTGGGACAGTGGAAAAGGGAAGATGGACAGATTTATTAATTTTCTCACTGACCAGGAGGCCCATTGCAAGTGCCAAAACTCACAGGTTATTTATCTCAAATGACAGGAAGAAGCAGAGCAGGAGAGGTCATATTGAATGTTGTGGGGACCCAAATCACAAAGAGATTTGTAAACTAAAACTGACAATTTGAGCCGCGCAAAGAAGAGAAGTAGGAATAGATATGAGTCAGCACAGAAGGGAACATATGCTCCGCCAAGCAATCTTGTCTAAGTGCATGGAACTCCTGGCTCCAGAGCACTTCACGAGGATTGGAGGGAGTCACCTGGGAGAGTGGGTCTCAAGGAAGAGCCAGACTGGGCAGTGTCAAGATGTGCACAGGGCTCTGCCCACCACGCTCAGGACCCCCAATTCCACGAAAGGGGACAGGGGGGAACCCTGAGGCCCGCAATCAGATGAGGATGGAAGTGGAGTGACTTAACCGTCCCTTGGAAAAGATGGTCCCCACTATGACAATATTAGTATGCTTAGTCCGTTAAGACCGCATATAGCCTTATATCAAATCGGAGAGAATACACCAAATGAATTTTCTGTTTTGTTGAGAGGGGGCAATTGGCTTTATTCCAAATACCTTTTGAAAAGACGTGGAAAATAAGCAGACACTTCATGGGCAGTGTTCTTTGTGATCATCCGCCATGATGAATCTGAAAATGAAGAGGCCAAAGGTAAGAGACTAGGAGTCACAGTAGATTTTCTGTCCACGTCACTGCTCTTGATTTACACAAGCATGGCAGTCATCTTCAAGACTGTTCCCCCTCTTCCAATATTTTTTATTGGAAAGTACGCGTGTTTGCATATACACATAAATGTCATATGTAGTGTGTGAGAAACACCCTCACCTGTCCAAGGCCAGAGGATAGACAGGGAGAAATGAGGTACATCGAAGCAAGACTTTAATTACAGCCTTGCAAGGTTCCGGTGTCTGACAGGCAGGCACATGGAAAAGGGCTGTGACAAGCAATTTATTTCCTGGTGTGCAAGTCCCTGCCCCCACCTCCTCATTGGCTGAGAGTACTACGGGGTACACAATCTTTCCTGATGACGTCTAAAAGTACCCCAATTTACTACCCCCTTGTAGGAAATTTCTTTGTCTGAGGGCTCAGGACAAGCCCGTGAAAAAGGCCCACCCAACACCCTGGGAAAGGAGAAACATTAGGAAATTAAGAGAACGACAGAGGACTATTAACTCATTACCACCTCAAGGACAACTTTATCCATCTGAAGTAAACAATTAAGGGCTGGTAATTCATTAGCATCTCAAGGACAACTTTATTCAGTGACCCCCCCCCCCCAGGAATGGGCTGGACCAG